ACTTAACATCGCTACACTTTGAAATATGAATTTCAAATTTTGTAATACAATGAGATAGATACATAAATTTAATATTAGATACATATATTGTATATTTTAATCTTCTTCATTAATTTTGAATTTTTAATCTAATATCACTCATTAAAACTGTTTTTCTAGATTATATGTGAATTAACTTCATCTGGTATGAACTAAATTGTGTTAGATTAATTGACTTTGATATTAAAATTGATTGTATCTGTTAAAACAAGTTTAATTGGAATAAGTATATAACATGTATGCATATAACAATAAGTACGTATATATGGTTTAAGATTTTTTTTTTTGTATTTTTGCAACAAAGTAAAATGAGTACATACCTACTGCTTACTCTAAGCCGATAAGCTAACTTAAAAGTACCCTACAATATGCACACAAATTAATACTACATAGATATAAATTATATATGCTTAATATTTTTCTTTTATTTATTACAATAATAACTATAGTATTACAGTCTTATCACTTTCGTATATTACATTTCATTTATATATATCTATATATCTATATACATATATCTATATTATTTTTATATCTGTATATGTCACTTTTTCAATAGAATTTGAATATAGTAATACAGTCGAATCACTTTCGTATATCACATTTCATTTTATATGTATGTATGTACCTATATATATATATATTTATATATTATATATATATATATATATATATATATATTATTTTTATACCTGTATATGTCACTTTTTTAAGAGAAGTTGAATATGAATAACTCTTCGATGAAATTAAAGCATATAAAAATATTTGATAATCATAAAAATTTGTTTTTTAAGATCATTCATCATGATAGTATTATGTTACAACAATATTATTAAGTTTATCGATTAAAACCTCTAGAGTTAATAAAATATATGACTTGAGTTGCAGTACATAGCATTTCTTACATGATAGTAAACATAATAATTTCACATTAGTAATTAAAAATTTTGTTAATATTTTTGAAGATATTACTTCTTATGAAATCAGACAGACGTAACAAAGAATTTAAAATCTTAGCAACTAAAGTTAGTTAAAATACGAGAAGTCATTGCTCCTAATATGGCAGATTAAAAGTTCTAACCCTGACAACAATTGTATATGGACTTATAAAAGGAATTTATATTTCAATAGATCGCCGATTGTCAATATAAAATAGCTGTATAGTCAACCAAAAATTTGAGCTAATAAAAATTGAATTATCTTGTTATAAATTACTATTATTGAAAAATACTTCTATTAGTAAGATAAGTGTCTTTTGCCATAATAAACTTTCCTTAAAAGTTATTTTAAAAGTGTTGATATTACTTAAAACACAGAATTTCAAGAAGAAACTTTTATAAGTCTTTTATAATATATTTGTATTTTTTTTTTCAAAATAATTGAATAAAGTAAAAGAAACACAATAACTATCAATACAAATCATCTCAAATAAGTATTATATATGGTATAATTTACCTAATTGAAATAATGAATATATTGTGATTATAATATTGTGTAGTTATATATTCAAATATTTAATTTTTGTAAAAATATTTATGTACATAAACAATTATAGGTAAATTCATCTTAATGTAGCGTTCCTAACATTCGCATTTGCCAATATATTTTGACATTAACAGTATTTTGCTTTTAGTTGAGCTCTCTTAACAATACAGAAAAATATTCATATTTGTGGGAATTCCAAAACCGCAACTAAAACCCAAACTAAACCAGTAAACAAAGCAGCCACACTCTGCCTCCGTATTTACTCTTCAGGCTTTAATGCCGCTATTGACTTAATTCTATCAACAAAGTACCTTGTCAAGCCGAACCGGTGGTAGATTTTCTCAAGTTTAATGTGTCATGGTTAAGCAAGCGAATAACTAAAATTACTATTAATTTGCTATTGTAGGCGTACTCACTGACCGCAATATTGTCTTCTTCCCTGGAATAAAAACACGAAATAAAAAGTTGCAAAGTTGGACTTCTCTGAGAATCTCTTTTTTTACTTCCCAACTAAAATGTTTAAATTTGCAAGTCACTTTAAGGTGTTGAAATGATGTTCCTAAACTTTGTCATCAGAATGTCTATAAAATGCTCATTTCGATTTGTTAATTAATTTGAATGTTAATTTAGCCATTATAATAATCTTTATAATTAAAAGTTTTCATATGTAAAAAAGATGCATTATATATAGTTAATAATAGAGGTGGAAGTGACAAACTAACTATATATCTTTTATTAAGTTCTTGTTAGTTCTTACCGGAACATATATAAAACGAAACTGAATTACAATAGATACTCGACCTTACTCAATTTGTTTGCCAAAGAAACTGTTGAATGAAAAATTTTAATAATAGATATTTTATTCTTTTCAATTAGAAATTGTCTTCATTATAAACAATATAAACAAATACAATGCAAATAAAATTAAGAAATAAATAAATTGTTAAGTTTTAAAGTTGAGGAACTTAAATATTAAATACATTGAACGTAGTTCCATTCCATTTATTCAAGTTTTACTCATTGGTCAAAGTTTATTTTAATTTTAAATTTTTATTAATAAAATGAGTATTTAGTTATTTAAATTTATCAAATTAATAATGATAGATAGGAAAAAAGATGCGATCTTAACAATTTCACGCTTTCAATATACAAAGTAATGCATATATATAACTGTAAGTCCCATAATCCACTGATATAAAGACCATTAGAAATTTCATAAGCTATAATACAATGTAATAGAATTTTAATATAAAATTCAAATTTAATTTGCATTACATTTTGCATAATAGTTTTTTTTCCAATCAAACGTTGATATACTTTAAATTAGTTTACGAAATTCCCCCATAAATGAGTCTCCGAATATGCCCCTGAGTTTTATTATATCCACTTAGAATTTCAAATTAAAGTAATTTCTATTAACAATAATTTACATAACAAATAAGCTGATTTCCATTCATTTATATTTTTATTTAGCTTGTTAGTAATATATAAATAGTAGTAAATCATTGAACATGTCTCTTCTCGATTACGAGCAGATGTCTTCCAACTATGCACTCCTCGATTCCGAACGTACTGACCTGCACTCTTTTTACAGCTCAGATATGGGCTGCCGTACTGCTGTTTCAAGTATTCTTTTCACCATTCTTCCAGTGCAAACATGGTATGTTGCGCTACTGCTTATAATATGTAGCATATAAACCACACGATTTCGCTTACAAGAATCTATCAATCAATCTCTGTAAGTTCGTTTGCTTCGATGTAGATTGGGTATACCTACATCGTGATTGTAGCGCCTTTAGAATAGCCGCTACTCCTGTATAGAGGAACGGCATAATCCCTTCATTCAACAGACTGCTTTTTACATAGCACACAAGCTTTGGATCCATATGTTAGTACTGGTAAGACTATTACAGCAATTGAGTAATAAGTTAGACATTATAATAAGGTTTCAGGATTTTTGCCTAACCGTAGTGGGTTTTATTGGATTTAAGTAACCGCGTATTTCTTTATCTATATTTTCTTCAGCTGCTACAATTGTTTCAAAGTTCCAATACTTTAAACATGCACCCTACTAATCTGATAGTTTCAGCAATGATTGTTGAATGAATGCTAATTCTTTAAATAATGATTCTTTCAAACATCCCAAAGATATTAATGTCGCAATATTAAACGTGTATGTCAATATCTGAGTGGAATTGAAGCCATAATCCGTTTTTTTATTAAAAACAATTATCAAAATTTATTACTTATAAGATATTTTAGTTTCGTACATAAAGGGTTAATGATAATAGTTAAGTGATAGTTACTAATCTGATAATTAGAGCAATTATCTGCTCTATACCTATTCTTTCAGCCGTCAGCTTTGATAGGACGAATGATTCTTGAATAAATACTGATGCTTTGAATAATGATTCTTTTGGACATCCCAAAGACATTAATGTCGTCCGCGCATGTCAATATTTGACTGGAATTGAGGCAATTTTTGTTAATAAAAACAATTATCAAAATTTATTATTGGAAAATATTTTAATTTCGCACATGAAGGGTTAATAATACTAGTTAACTGATAGTTACTAATCTGATAATTAGAGCAATTATCTGCTCTATACCTATTTTTTCAGCCGTCAGCTTTATTTGGACGAATGATGAATGCTGATTCTTTGAATAATGATTCTTTTGGACATCCCATAGATATTAATATCGTCCGCATATGTTAATATATGACTGAACTTGGGGACAATAGTGCCCAATAGTACAAAAAATTACCAAAACTTATTATTTATAAAATATTCTAGTTTCTTACATGAAGGGTTAATGGTAATAGTTAACTGAATTTATATAGCTGTGGTTTGCATGTTTTCTCTTATTGTATTATGCGTATTGTTGTTTAGATTAAAACAAGAATAATAATAAGTGTAAGTTGGGTTTATGATTTTAGGGAACTAAAACTTAAATGGAAGCACTTGATCGTTATCTAGTAATTACAATTTTTATCTTATAGTAGAATATATTAATTTACAGTTCTATTTATCAAAAATAATTCTTATTTATTAATTAACTATTGAAATAATAATTTTTTTTTATTCAATTTTTTTCATTTAATTTTTTTTATGGAATTCATTTATATTTGTTGTGAGTCTCTGTTTATAGTTTACAAATTTAAGTTGAACTTGACTTCTGTTTCATGAATTAAAAATAACAACAACAAAAAATAAGATTATAAAAAACTTTTCTGAGTATTCGCGAAAACAATAAAAAGTACAGAAATATGGGAACTCTTGAGCGTACGCGCTGATATGAGTAATTTCTGTCTGGGGAAAGATAATCTGCGACGTGAGTGAGTGTTTATATGAATGAGAATCTCTACGACAATGAATAATTTAGCCAACTATAGTGAGCAGCAGCGGCATTAAAAAAAAGGTTTGTTTTGTTAAAGCCCAAGTCTGGTTATTTTTATAAATAGAAATGCTTTTGGATGAGAAGTAAACAGTCGAAACTCAACCTCCGAGGTGAAAGCAAACGTGAAGTGAATATATTTTAATAATTAAAGACAAAACGTGAATATTAAGCATTTTGTATACAAACTAAGTATATAAAAAAAAGATTACTTTTATTAATTTAAAATAAAAAGCAAAAATTAATTTAAACGAAATGCATAAGCAAGCAAATACAATCGTTTTCGTCGCTATCGCGTTAATAATGTTAAATTCTGTACATGCACAACGTCCTTCTTTTGCGGGCTCTCGTCCTACAGGCGGATTAAATCAGAAAGACAAATATCATAGCACAACCGCTAGTAATGTTGATATTGTTGATCGTTTTGGTGCAGCTGAAACTACAACAGTTAATCAAATTCCATTTGGTGCATCACAACGTCCACCAATTGGCTATCCAGTGATTGTTCCACAAGCTACTTATGTACCTTTAGCAGCACCTGGACCAGTATTTAACATAGATAATCGCCTTGGTGAAATTGATGCACCAACAACTCCTCTGGTTGGTTTCTCAAATACAGCCACAAATACGTTTGCTGGTTCCACTATACCTTTCTCCACTACAACAACAACAGCGACAGCAGCAGCAGCAGCAGCAGCAGCGGGAGCATCATCGACCGCAACAACTCCACAACGTTTACCACATGATGCACTTGGCGATCAGTTACTCATCGAACAATTAAACCGTTTACCCTTGGATCAACGTCCATTCTGGTTTTTAAATTATCAAGCAATTGAGGCATCACGCAATGGCACTGGCACTGGTGCGGCTACGATAAATTCTCGTGGATCTTTCGCTGGTTAAATTTAAGTGACTTCAATTAATATATGCTTTTAGTATTATTTACTCGGTAATATTTACTGTTTAGTTTATAAATCTTAAAAATAACAAAAATAAAAATTAAATTATATGCAAAAACAAATTCATTTCGTTTCGACGATGATGTCAAAAAATAAATTTAATTTAATGTTTATGTGTTGATATAAAACTTGACTTCACCTCATTTTTTAGACAAAATTTTTGTTTTTAAAATTTTATTTTTAATAAAAAAATATTTAACTTGACCTTTGTTTATATAAAAATTTAATCGCCATAAAAAATACAAAATTTAAATGCAATTCACTTGTAAACTTAAAACTGCTTATCAGGCTTAGTAGCTTAATATATATTCTAATGCAAAAATTAATATATTTTATATATTAAATTTAATCGCAAGATTTTCTAGATTGCTTCAGCTTCAAAAGTTTTAAGATTTCAATGCCTTATCAGCAAAAAGTTTTCCTTACATTTAGTTCGTTCTTTTTTCTCTATCAATGAAGTATGTAGCATTCTTCTTTTTTGCCTATTGAAAAATCCAATTTAAAAGTGGTGTCCATCTGTTGACGACGATGATGCTGTTACTGCTCTGCTTGTTGATGCTCCTACAGATAATGTTGTTGGTGTAGTTGAATTGCTGAAATGCTGAAATGCTGATGCTGAACGTGATGCTTATGTTGACGTTGATGCTCATGATGAAGATGAGGACTTTAGTTTTTATCATTACGCTTTCAAGCACAAGCATTAAAAGTGTTTTCTGGAACATAAGTTTGATTTTTATGTTTGAAACCACAAAAGCTTTGCGAGCACACGACCGGCAACATCATCATAAACATCACCAGCAATGTTCCAAATAGCTTCCTTCGCACACTGTCGCCACTGTCCCCTCTGTCCTTTTTGATTTTTATTCGCTTGCCCTGAAGTTTTTGTTAGTGAGCGCTCATCGAGCGTGTAATCTAGCGCTTAAATGGCAAAACTTCAATTAAGTTTTCTACAACATTCACACGCAACTTATTCAACCGCATTTCCGCTGTCCCCCTAACACGCCGTTGCGCAATTTTAGAAGCGTCCTACTTTAATATACTTATGTTATTCCCCTATTTTTTAATTTCTTCACCATTGTGACAATTTTTTACGGTCATCTGGTTTTTATGTTTTTAAGCTTTAATTCCATTTAAAAAAATTTTATGAATCTTTCGTATTATTTGGTTTAATGGTATGATGACTACGCTTCATTATATCGAGGCAATGGCAGTGGTTATGTACGTACTTTTCGACAGTACAAACACAATAGAGGGAAGAAAACATTGCATTAATCCAGCTAAAAAATATATGCGGTTGTTTGTTATCGTAAAGAGCTGGGAAATAAATTGTTAGTTTATTGTTATGGCTTCTTCTAGTGTAAATTACTAAAAATATTTAATTACGGAAAATTTAACGCTGGTCTTTATTAAAAGTTTAAAGAAAGAAGAATTGAGTTGTAAACCGCACTGCCGATAAAAATCTAAAGAAGTATTACATATCAAATTCTCTAATGAATGAAATTTTTATAGCATTTTAAACTCATTTTACAAGATGTAGTAAAAGAAATTCAGAAAATAAATTTGTCTCATTTTTCTTATATGACATATTAAATCAATAATTAATTTAAGGACTTAAAGGCGACAGAGAAAAATTATATTTCCTTCATTAAGTAAATTCCCATAAAAATTAACTCATGGCATGTCTGAATGAGGAAAGACATGATTGAGTATTTTTTATTCGAATACGATTCTATTCATTTCACACCCACACAAAGAGTTAATTTTTTAAGACATTCCCGCTATAAGAAATTCATGGAAGAAGTGGAACTTAATTATAAGAATTATTATTAGGACTGAATAGTTTTATGGAATTGCTTGTGGTAATGATTTCACTACAGTTTATGGAAGTCCGAGTACTTTATATGTTCCCCAATAGTTTATGTGAGGAGACAACCGTAATACAGAAAAAGAATAATATAATATTGAATACAAAAAAGAATAAAATAATATTGAATTTTAGTCTTGTTCTGTATTACGGTTGTCTCCCTACATAAGAAGACATAGCCGGGAACATATAAATTACTGGAACACTGAAAAAACGTCAGAAAGTAGAATCGGGTGTGTTATTCTAATTCATTAAATATTACTAATTATTTTCAGATACAGTTATAAATTTAACACTCATTAATTATAAATATAAGAACAATTTTTTATGTTTCCATAAAATATATATAATTGTGATATATATATAGCGAATATAAATTACAACAATAATCTTAAGAACTTTAAAAATATTTTTTATTTGCAGTAATTATTTTGTATTTATAATACACTAATAGCATTTTCGTTTGGTTAATTGAGTTGATCTTATAATGCACTTTTAGTGCATTTTTATTTTCGATTGGTAAATCCTGGCAAAATGTATAACACTCGAGATTGATTTACAGCACTCTGGATATTGCCAGAGGAGCAAGATTACACTAAAGTTAATAACTGTTTTATATGATTTGACAGATAAGCTTTGATTTAATTCGATATATGTATTTATAAAAAATATAAATATCTACTAACACTACTACAAAAATGTTAGATTACTCTGAAAATGTTCAATTGGGCACCGAAATTTGACAGATCGAGAATATTTAAAATCGAGAAGATCGAGAATATTTATTTATTTATCGTGTGATATTTAAAACGAAGTTTATTGACTATATATTGAAACATATATAAACAAGGGTATTGCTACTAGAGGGTCTGAATAGAGAAATACAACAGAGCTACATTATTATTTGGTAAGGAATAGAGATCGAATGGGATTAGAAATCAAACGAAGATAGAAGTCGAACATATGTCATTAAAAGATTTAGTTTTAATTGTTAAATTGAATTTTTGCAATTCACATCTTTCATTTGCATGGTATTATTAATTGTGCAATTAAGCAAATTTCAAAATTAGTTAACAACTTATATATTCAAATAAATTCTTCATACTCAATTTCGAATATGTATACCCATTAATTTTAATTTTATTAATATCTCCTACATCTCGACTTAAAGAACTTTAATATGACGTTCGTATATATATAGTAAAGTCCTCATTTACCTTGAAATAAAATTTTTTCTTAGTTGTCGATATTAATGAATATAAAATAAATAATAATAATAGCCTCATTTAATCACCCATAATTTGTTTTTTCATAACTATACTTAATTAATATATTCTGACAGTATCTGACGAATAGACATAGAGTAATAAAATTTCTTTATAGAAAAATGAGATACTTATGTCCTTATTGTACTTCCTATAGAAAATATGAAATACTCTGAAGATTAACCTGTAAAGCTTGCATTGTCTTTATCAATGCAGAACAGAGCTACAATAAAGACAACTACTTTTTATATATAGATGTGGTTAACATTCAACACAAAAAAAGGTAAATAAAATATTTTTAAAATGTATTTTTAGTATCATACCCTGGTATGTAAGTATTATACCTACCTTATTTTAGTTTTAAGCCAATACAGATATCACAGCCTGATAGTTAAGGACTAACTTACTGACAATGCAACCATTACACAAAAAAAATTTGACTAAATAAATAAAGCGCCCAAAAATCTGTTCACATTTTATCACATTACATACAGTGACTAATTTTAGTTTAAAGATAATGCATATAACTCGTTTAGCTGATAGTTAAGGACTAAATTACTGGTAGTGCAACCAACACCAAAAAAACTTGATTCAATAAAGAAGCTAAAGCTTATAAAATTTTGATTACTTTTTTATCATATCACGTGTAAACCATACCTACATAATCTTAGTTTAAGGATTATGTATTAAATTCTATAAATATTCAAGTTTTTTTATGAATGTTTCAAGTTCTTTATGTCTTCTATTGAATAAGTAAAATGAAAATATCAATTTTTTTATTAAAATTAAAATACCTAGCACTTTTCTGAAGCATAAATATTATAGCGTTTTTTTATTTTTATTTTACAATTCATAGGAAAAATTCCATTTCCATAAAATTTAATTATTCTCTTAACATTTTACCTGTTGACTTCATCTTCGCAAAAGTGCAACCACCCAATACCCTGACGTATTAAGTGACATTCTTAGCATATTTGTGTTGTTTCTTGTACAATACTTGTATACGTATATAAATCCTTTTCTCCAAGGTCTATAATAAGCCTCATTTCTGCTCCTTATTGTAGTTATGCCATAGCACAAAAAGATGCCAGGACATTTTAAATTCAATTTTGAATTTAAATTGCAACGAGATGGAATTCTTCTATCAAAGCTGGCAGTGCAGTCCTTTTGCAGGAGTTAAAAAGTCAAAAAGAAAAAATGGAAGAGACGAATACTGGGTTGAAGTCCCAGCCCCATAAGGTGACAAGTAGCGAAATATAGTCCACAATCAGTCACAATAAGGACAATGGCTGAGTAAAAATGCATCATGAAAACAGAAAACGGCGTGCAATGAAACAAAACAGTTGAAACAAGGAAAACTCGAGCATATAATAAAAGCGAGCAGAATGTCAGAGAAGTATATTTTGTAGTTATTGTGCTTGTTGTTTTTGTGAAAAGGATATTTATCTGCGGGAATGATTACTGTCATTTGGCTCACTAAAAACAGTTCATGCGAAAAAACTGCAATGGTACGAAGCGGAGAGCACATGAAAGTTCAAAACAAGTTTAATGGCCTTTTTTTAAATTGAGTAGAAAATATTTATGCGTCGCACTGCAAGGATTTCATTGATATTGATATTGACAGGATACTAAATGTACAAAAATATTTCAGCGATTGAAGTCAATTTAATGAAAAATGCTGGCTATCACGGATTGCTTTTTTGTCGTTTGTTATTCGTTTATTTTTTTATTTAATATCACAAAAAAAACAGTTAAAGACGAAATTATTAATTAAAAGCGTAGATTTCCTAGAAGTATTGAAATTTCTTATATAATATTAACTACCAGGATTGGAATTGTGCTGTGTACGCAAATGGATTGTTCACTACAAAGTATTGTTGTCCTTGGAGTGGTAAAGCAACCCCAATTGGTGCAGGTGCAGCAGCTGCAATTGGCGCATTAACGGAGACTAGTCGCTGCGATTTCACAGCAACAGGTTTTTGTAATTTAGCTGAGGAACGCAAAGGTGCAGTCTGTTTATTAACAAGACGTCCCTTGTTGCGTTTGGTGAAACGTGCAGGATCTATGGGTGCCTGCTGTGCTGGTAAAAATTCTTCTGCATCTGGATTTGGTGCAAACTGTTGTGGTGCTTCATCGGATGGTAACTGCTCGACAGATGGTCCCACTTGCGGTGGTCCATATGTTTGATCGGGTGGTCCATAAACTACATCTGGCTGCGCTGCAACTTCCTCGACGAATGGCACTTCTGGCTTCAACTCATCAGCTGATGGGTAAGGTGTTGGTGCTATTTCTTGACGCGCTAAAACGCGGCGACGACCTTGCTGTAACTTTAGTGACCTATAACGTGGTGGTTCAGCACTACAAGCCACCACAGCCAATACTACTAAGAACATAGACAACTTTGAAAATTTTGCCATTGTTACAATTTTTTTAATTATTTATATTTTTAATATTTTGAAATCCTGGTAATGTTGTATTTGCTACTATCGTTTGACGTTAACTGATAACCATTGCGATAAAGTTTACACTTTTATATTATTTGTTTCATATTAATTATTATTTTAATGCATTTATTTGTTTCTTGGTATATTTGACATTTCATACTCCATGGCGCATATAAAATATACATTTCCAACAAATTTGTGCGTATTTTGGTTTAATTGCTACAAAATATTTTGGATTGCTCTACGCCGCATGCATAATGATGAGCTGCTCAGCAAATCCCTTAATATTTTAGTTTTAATTACAGTTTTACAAACAGAAATAAAATGTCATTGGTATGCAAACAAGTATTTTTGGGATTTAAATTTTAATAGTACATAAAGGGTCAATAGGCCACAAAATACAATTTGCATTTTATTGTAAACAAAATTTTATAATTAATTGTGCTTAATGTAATAAATCATATCAGCAATAATTAATAATTTTAAACCTGGAAAAACTATAATATTGTAATAGTATTTCGTATCTCGATGTGACTTTTACATGAATAAATTATTAGAAAATATAATTTAACATACAATTAAGAATGATAAAATATAAAAAAAATAATCAAACTACTTTGACAGGCCTAAGTTCTAAGCCTGGCACTACCATTCCAAACAAATTATATACGGACTGTAAACTAATTAAAAAATTCGGATATTTTCTAAGACCACTGATGATGAGTACTTGGCAGTATTGGAAACAGCGTTGTATGGTTAGACAATTTTCAATAAATTAACTAAAAATTTTTGTTGTGTTTTTTGTTTCCATTCGAACTCTTCTAACTTTTAAATAGTTTTTTTTCAACATATGACATGTCACTTTTAACAAAAAAATTAATATATAATCAAATTCTGTTAGACATAATTCACTTTAGATTTTGTAAAAACAAAAACCATATAAACTTAATGAAAATAATCCTTTTACAGATTAAAAATACTTGGACAAAAGTTCTTAAAACTTTTTACTCACAACTTTAAAAGCGGTAAAATTAAACAATATGGTGATATCTAAATTATTGAAAAAAACATGGCGAACTGTAGGAATAAAAGTCAAAAATTGGAAAAGATTTTTTTCTAAACTGACACAATTTTCAATAGGAAACTATAGTTTATACTAGGAGCATTGCTAGTCTTGACATCCAAAGTAGTCAAGACAAAGAGTATCATTATTCTTGTCTTATAAAGTAGTCAAGACAAGGAATATCACTAGCCTTGACTTCCAAAATAGTCAAGAAAAGAAACATCTTTAGTCTTGATTTCCAAAGCAGTCAGTGATGTTCCTTCTCACATACGTTTTACGTATATTAACTTGGAGCTCGGAATAAGATAAGTCTTTATTTCGGGTTACAGGGGAGCTTTGATAAATGAACAAGATGATGAGCTAGCCAGATCTGCATCAAAAACTGTTTTTACAGGCCCTCTACCATTTTGTGGATTAAACTGAGAACTGAGACAGTACAAAAAAAATAATCAAGGAGAGGGAGAATCATTTACGGCTGGTGTACTGGAAAGAGTTCGCACCAATTCAGATAATGCAAAGCACTAAACCATTCTCCTATAAAAACATTCTTAAATACTCAAAAAGTTATTTATGGTTGATAACGACTTTCACGTCATTACGGTCTGAAAAGATGAACGATATAATATTTACAAAATTAGTATTAGTATTAATTAGTTGATATATGAGCCGGCAATATTAAAACAAATGGTAATAAAATAAATTAGTGACCACGACAAGGTGTACGTTTTCGGGACTGTTATTTAACATCAAGTATAATTACAAGTTTTTCGAGAGGCTATTCGTGATATAAATAAGAGAATACAAGTTAGCGGATAATACATAAATAATAAAGAGTTTACAGTTGATATAGTGTTTTTAACTGATCTTTTGAGTGACTTGGAATATGTAATACATATGGTATATCAATATATATTGAAATATTTTTAAACATATATGTATACCATATGTAATAAACAGGTTTTTCCAAAAGTAGTGAACTACAACAGCAAAAATTCTTTTTATATACATAATACATAATACATAAATAATAAAGAGTTTACAGTTGATATAGTGTTTTTAACTGATCATTTGAGTGACTTGGAATATGCAGTACATATGGTATATCAATATGTATTGAAATATTTTTAAACATATATATGTAACAAACAGGTTTTTCCAAAAGTAGTGAACTACAACAACAAAAATTGTTCTTATATTATTTTAATTAATTAAATTTGTGACGGAACATACAGCTGTTTCGAGTATTGCTAAATACCCGTCATCAGTGGTCTTGTAAATAATTCTTGTATTTAATTATTTCTACATAATTTTTTTGAGACTGCAAGTACCAGGACTCGAAATCGAACCCTGCCAAATTTTGATGCTCAGAGTCAGCGTTCATTAGCCAATTGACCCAAAGCCGTACTTGACTAACCGTGAATTGAAAATAAAACTACGATATCATGATATAATATCAGCAAAATAAAACATTTGGTCAATACTATTATATCGAATAGAAGCATGAACACTTAAAATTGCGATAATGAATAAAATCAAAGCGTTTGTGATGCTACCATCCTTCACTATTGATTACACAGTTCGATCATGTAACATTTGAAGAAGTTTTAAAACGTTGTTAAAAAGGAGCTCTGTTTCCAACCACCTCAACACAGCTCACTTAGAACATAACCTTCATAGCACTTAATTCAATATGAGCAACAATTCTACAAGAAAGAATAAAATGACTATATAATATATAATTCTTTATATATAAAAATATAAACAATAACAACTAACATCAAATATGTTAAAAAGTCACTAATACTAGAGCTAGCAAACAGTACCAAAAATGTCAACTAAATTAAGAAACTTTGGCTAAAAAACTTATGCAGAATGTTTTTAAATATTAAATATCGTAAGCTTAACTATTAAGCTCAACTATTATTATTTTAAAATGAAATAACTGTAACTTCTTTTGAACAAGTCATTATCAACGCCCACCAATCTCTCTTTTAACAACTCTGTTTTTAACTTTAACCAAATACTGGATTTTATATACAATTTCATGAAAAAATTCTGTGCATGAACGACGAAGTGAAAATAGATTACTAAAAGTTCTTCAATAGTTCTATTATCTAAGAATATCATGTAATAAAATACGAATGGGTGGTTATAAAACTTTAAAAGTTTCTGCAGTTTTGAGAAAGCTTATTCGTTATCTTAAAAGCTAGAAAATCACTGTAATTGAAACTTATTAAAAACAATTCAACGCTTTCAAGAGTTTGGAAATATATATATATTTCAATTTCAGAGATTAGTTAATTTAGTTAACTAATAAGTTTAAATACCTACGAGATTCATTTTTCGCACAACATAACTTTATTAAGTGTTTCCTTGAAAGCCAAATGTGATTCTCGATTTCAAATCAAGCTAATCGAGAAATGTGGCGAATATAACTAAGAAGGACTTGGCTTCTTGTTCTATCACCGTACGATCTATCGGCACGTACCTACATAACAATCATCAAGCTCATCATTACCCTTGAGCTTCTCGCCTGGTGGCAGTTGATGTATAAGGGTTTTTTTTTTTATCAGTCTCCTATTGATAAAGTTCAGATACTGGCTAGCATGGGTATCTCAAAAGTCTTAGGTAGTGTTTTAATACGATTCATCATCTCTTATCATATTCTCTTTCTTTGATATTCCAAGAATCGAAGGTACGGAAATAGGCCAACTATAGACACAGTACAATTATGGATAAAGTTAGCAAGTAAAATTAGTAAGGTGGCTTACTCAAAGTTGATTTCGGATCAGCAACACACTACATGACACAATTCAAAACATTAGCATGGACTACTAAACAGAACTAGTCCATGAAAAATTAACATACTCGCTACTCCACCAAGAAAAGGTGGAAATCCAAATGTATGACAGATTCCTGCATTGTTTTTCAAGCTGATAAATACACGATCGAAAAAGCAGCTGAGTAATACAAACGAGAACTATTCGACCTTCAAATATCGCTTTATTTAGATAAAAAGGAAATAACATTAACGGGACTGACACCTTAATAAACACCCGATTTGTAAACTGTTTAGGAATATAGATAAACTAACCACAATTATGACGAATAAATAATTGATTATCCGTGCAGAGTATGAGGAGCCTAGTATTCTATAGTCTTAATCAGATATAAGAACAATAAAAGGTATTCTGGGTATCTACAAAACTACAGCTCGTGCGGAGCATGCAGAAATTGTCATAATGAAAAACAAGTGGAAGCTATGAACGACTTTCAATGTCTTTTCCCAGCGTTACAAATGAAGCTCGGTCCATTTCGTCACATTGGTCAATTTTTCTTTTAACGCACCAACACGCGCCTTTAAAACCTAACCTAACTTATTGCCAAAAATCCGTATTTAAGGATGTTTACGAACACAACTGAAAACTATGTAAAGAAACTATCGAAGAACTAGATTAAAATCAAACAAAAATCGTTAGAATTAATTATGATAAATTTGATAAAAAATAAAAGGAAAAAAAATTATTTGAAGGAATGTAACTAAATTTACAAATATTCAAATATAAATTATTCATATTTCAATTAATAAATCATAATAAATTCTCTACTACAATATCAAACAATTGTTTACCTTTTTTTATCAATGTACTAAAATAATTGTGTACCCAACAAAAGCCCTTGGCATAGTAAAAGTAAGCACAACAGAATGAAGAGTCACGTAACATCCATGAAGAGTTCAACACTTTTCGTATTTAAATTGCCTATATTGTGCCTTATAAGGCTGATGCTTAAAAATATGAAAAGACATTGAAGTAAGTCATAAACATATTATAAAACAAATGGCAAAGAAGACTAAACAACTAAACCAATCAAATCAAATATAAAAGACAACTTGTCAACAGCAGTCAACATTGTTCTACAAACATTCACTAAGTCAGCACATAACATAATCCAAACAGTATCACTAAAACCGAAAAACAAAATGGCAAAGTTCTACACAATCCTGGCTGTGCTCGCAGTATCACTAGCATTGGTCAACGCTGAACCACCACGTTTCCGCAACGCACGTCGTAACGGACAATTACGCTTCAACAATGGCAGACGATTCTTCGCAAGACAAGAAGTTGCACCAGCACCAGCAGACGCAGCACCAGCAGCTGCACCTTATCCACCAGCTGGAGTTACACCCGAAACACCATTTGATTTACCAACCGAAACTGAAGCGCCAATTGTGCAACCTGATGATACCTATGGTCCACCAGACCAAACATATGGTCCACCAGATCAAACTTATGGACCACCAGATCAAACTTACGGTCCACCAGATCAAACTTATGGCCCACCACCAGCTGAACAAGAAATTTTACCCGAACCCGATAATACTTATGGGCCACCTGATGCTGTTGATGCTCAAGATGCCGCACCAGCTATAGATGAACCTGCTCCAGTGGACCCAGCGCCAGCTGATAATGGTGGTGATTTAGTTTCTCAGAATTTAATACAACCACGTAATAGAAATTTGCGTAGTCGCGCCCGTTCAGCTCCATTACGTTTAAGGGCAGTTCCCGCTAAACGGGGTAGTATTGTCGAAATTGTGCGTGCTGAACCAATTATTGTTTATACTTTGCAGTAACGTAAAGTTAGATTAATAATTATAATAAATTTGTTGTAGTGGGATTTGTTAATTTTTATAAAACCGTGTTGTTAAAGTTTAAATAAAATGTACGATTTATTATATATTTTAAATATTTTTTAATTTTTCAACACACTTTTACCTTAATAAGCTTGCTAACAAAAATGGAATCTTAAGTTAGTTGTCTTAAATTTCCAAGGCAGTTGTGTCATTGTCAGGACTATATCTGAACTAGTCTACACATTTCGTATGTGCTTGCCAAATTACTTGAACACCTTCGAAAATTGTATTAATTTATAAATGTTATTACAACACCAAAACAATTTAATAATACTATATCACACTGTTAAATATAATATGCATAATTTAATAAACAATAATCCAATTTAATTCATGGCCCACTAGTATCAAGGAAAGGAAATTCCATATAATGACACCATATGATAAAACTAATAATTTTATTATTTGAACCCAAAGGTCAAATGATTGAGTGCCCTGGCAAAGTGCTCTAAGCAAACAGAAACAATTATACTCACAAATAAAATGTGTTTTAAAAGTATTAATGAATAAATTCTTAAAGAGAAGTTATTATTTTTCAAGATAGTCTGAAAACTATTAAGTAAATCCGCTGTATTTACAATACAGAAATCGATAGTCATTCTAGTTCAGAATTAGCGAATTAGCAAAAGTTTCAAATGAATTGAAAAGATTTAAGTCAATTTAACTAATAGCCAGAAATATATAATCCTATAATTGTGAAAATCATCGCAGTCAATTGCATCTAATATTTCAGCTTAACAAAATTAAGGGACATAAAACCAGGGATGGTTTTGTTGCATTATTTCTTGGAAGAACTTCAGCAAATGTAATAGCCACATCAAGAATAATTGATGGTGATGGTATTATACCACATAAATTTTTTATTCCTGAATTCCGTCTCTGCCCAACGTACATAATAATATATATCTACTGACTGAAAACTTTAGAACACCTTTTAGGAATACAAAATACACTACTTTCAACCATACGTTGAAGGTCATATGCTGACACCTCATTTCATTCATGGAAAGGTAGACATTTCAAATTATACGAGCATACCTCCCTTCCTTATAGCTAAGAAGTTATAATTGTCTAAGAGAAAACTCAAAACTCGATTATTGTAACCACAATTATAGAGTAAGATTACAGAAAGACGCAGACGATGTCGTCCAGATAAAGGCTCAGGAATCAGAAATGCTTATTAAGCAGGTTAATGGAAAATTGAACAGACTGAAGTACATCAAAAGGAAAATAATGAAAGTATATTAAAAAATAATATTAATATGAGAGTATAAAAAAAATAAAAAATTATCTATGTAATATACTCATGTTGGATGTCAGAGTTCGGTTATGTGTGCCATCGGATCTGTGCTTTTAATCAATGCAGTTTCTTTCAAATGCTTCAAGGCGTTCCATTTGAGCAGATTTCGAACCAAATACACAAAGCTGTTTAAGTTTAAAAAATCTCAACTTGTCCAATTGCCTTAACCAAGTTAAATAAAACCTAACTATATTTTCGTGAGCACGATCTAATCTTACAATAACTCGCTCACAAAAATTGAACTGTGCATTCTTCAATACTTGTTTCAAAGTTAATAATAAAAAAGTAATTTTCGAAATATCCATCTTTGACATAAATAATGTTCTTAAGACGATACGTATAATGTGATATATAAGATGTGAGATGCAATGTTTTTCATTTTTCAATGAATTCTATTTTGACAAAGCAAAAAAAAATTTGGAAAATCTTTCGAAATTTAAATTATATTAATTATTTTCAATATATACTTCTTTTACATTTGGAAAACCTTTGGAAATTTAAATTATATTAGTAATTTTCGGTATATCCATCTTTGACATAAATAATGATCTTAAGACTATCCAAAGAACATCACCTGCTACCCGAGAGTGAATATGTGGTATTTTAGCTCAAAAGTACAATACGAATAAAGCTTATTTTGTGTACTATATGACAGTACCAAAGACAATTAACTGTGGAACAAACTTTGAAGAAGTCAGTGGTATATATATGTTTATTTGCTATTGCAATAAATATCTTGCTTATTATGAATTCTTTAACAAATTTTGCTTTCTCCAACATCTTAAAGTGAGTTCTTCGACTTTGTTACTTATAAATCTCACAGTTTTACTAACAATTTCTACTAATATAAACTTGATTATGGAAAGCATTCGCAAAACTATTGTAAACTTCACTAACAAAGTAAGACAAAATCTTAATTAAAAATTTAGTGGTAATAGTGAAGTTTGCGAAGTTAACTTTAAATCCAAAATTTATCGCATAAGTTTGAAATTACATAAATGTTACTTAAAAACATTTTCCAACAAAGTTTATTGGGTAAATACTTTAAATATATGCTCTTAACTAAAGTTATAACAAAAAACCAACATTTGAAACGAGTAACACGTTGGCGTATGAGTGACATTTTACAAGTACTAGTTTTGTTACCCGGAAAACTTAACTCAAAGCAACACCAAATCTTCTTCACAATTTTTTTTTATTAAAATTTAATTAAATTTTTCAACTTCAAAATATTTAGCAACAAATTTAAGAAAAACTGCAGCATATTAAAATCAATTTAAAAGTAGCTAGATACTTCCTTGCTTATTCGTTCTTTCGGCAGTTTGGACAGCAATAACAGAATAGCAAAATAACAGAATAACAAAATACAACAATCTAACAATCTAACAACAACAAGAACTGTAACAACAATGATAGAAGCAATAACAACAAAAATTATTGACCAAATACACACTGAAACCAAAACTTTTAATATTTGAAAAAGAAAAACTTTGTACATATTTTTTAATAATAAAATTCAATGATAAAACAGTAGCAGTAACAATGGTAAACAATAATAACAACTGCAACAGCGAACAAATTGCTACGTTAGTGTTGCCACCTCTATGCAAAGTTGTAAAACTTTTTTTATTGATGGCACTTCATATTTTCTGACCTCAAAAAGTGCTTTTTGTCATACGCTTGACTTGTTTTTATAGTTCTCGAAACATTTTGTGCTGTTATTAATTGTTAATCAAATTTTGATTTCCAGGCTTTGACCCGAAGTGGCAGCACTACCGTTTGCACATACCGGCAAACGAAATCCGTACATGACTGCATACACAGTTGCTGCGAAAGAATGTTTAGCGAATTTTCAGAAGCTTCAAATGATAAAATTCAAACAATGGTAAAAGTCATCCAAATGTGCTGCGAAAATGTGTTCCATACCATGGAAACTGAACATCGTGTAGAAAATGTTTGCTTTTGTTTTCTGCTCGTATTTTCCGGTTTGCTTTTAGCCAAAAAATTTCAGAACAAAAAAAAAAAAATTAAAATTTTAAAGAATTTAATAGAAAAGTTTGCCTTGTTGTGGCAAATGGAAAATTCGATGACAGCTTAAGTGATTTTAACTTTTTTATGCATTTGAAATGTGCATATGCATGCGGTTATGTTCTCCAGCAGCAGCAACATATGCAGATATGCATGGATGCATAGATTCGTTTATGGTATGTCGATATGTGAATGTCTCGATGTGTGGATGTATCGATGTATGGATGTCTCGGTGTGTGGATGTGTCGATGTGTGGATGTGTGGATGCATATGCGTGAGTCTAGTGCGTTTACTTCCGCTTGTGTGGAAAACTGTTTGCAGGATTTTTAATTGAGTGCGTAATTAAAAAATTATACGATGCAGTGAAGTAAATTGTTGCGGTGCAAACGGAGTTTGAAACTTTTAAACAAAAAATACAACAAAAACAAAAACAATGTGAAATGCATTTAGTTGGTATGTACGTTTGAAAATGAAAATAATTTTCTGCACTAAATTTTAAACAAATCTCTCATTCAAATGTAATTACGTTCTTTAACGATATTGTGTTGTGTTTCTAAAGTTTCGAGTTTATGTCTTCAGTTTCTTAAATTTATTTAAATATTCATAGCATTTCATATTATCTTCAAGAATGATTTTAGTTTCAATTACAGCTTAACTGAAGAATATGAAACTATTGGTCTGCATAAGCAAAACTATATTTTATGTATACTTCTTCCGGGATTTAGAATAATTTGTCATGCTATTAAACTAGAATTAGAAAAAAAGAAACTTTTGGATCTTTAGAAATGATTTATGCTATACTAGCCATTGGATTATTAGGATTTATTGTCTGAGCTCAGCATATATTTACAGTAGGAATAGATATAGTTACTCCAGCTTATTCTAAATCAGTAACAATAATTATTGCCGTTCCAATTGGAAAATTTTTAGGTGATTAGTAACATTTCATAGAACTCAATTAAATTATTCGCATACTACTAAATGAACTTTGAGATTTGTATTTTTTTATTTACAGTACGATCATTACTGATGATTAACAAGTGTAGTATTAGCTAATTCTTCTGTTGGTATTATTCTACATGATACTTATTATGTTGTAGCTCACTTTCATTACGCACTACCAACAGGAGCTGTATTTGCTATTGTAGCAAGATTTATTCATTGGTAAACTCTTTTTACACAATTATACATAAATGCAAAACTTTTAAAAAGCCAATTTTTAGTTATATTTATTAGAGTTAATTAAATATTTTTTTCTTAAAATTTTTTAAGGTTAGCAGAAATATCACGACGATACTCTGACTACCCTGATGCTTATACTATATGAAATTATTTATTATTATTTCAAATATTGGAACTACAATTTCATTATTAAGAATTATTTTATTTTTGTATATTATTTGAGTAAGTATAATTATAAATTGTCAAAAAATTTATGCAATTTAATTAAACTCTTCAATTGAATGATTCCAAAATTCACCTCATTCCGAGCACAGTCATTCAGAATTAATTTTTTAATCTAATTTCTAATATGCAATGGATTTAAGCTTCATATATATAAAGTATTTTACTTTTATTAGAAATCTCAACATGAAATTTGCAAAACTATTTATATACTATAATTTATAGTTTTAATATTTATACTATAAATAGTACGCAGTTCACGATAAGTGC